TTCCTGGAAGAAAATCCAGATCCTTCCTCCCTTCAGAAAGCCCTCATACAGGCAGTAGCGAATACTGCCACCTTGAAAACAAAAGCCAAATTTCTGCATTTGACGATAAGAATTGTATTCTTCACATTCAGGTCTTTGTTTTGGGACGACCACAACACACCACCAACAGGCTCACCTTTCCAAAGTTACCTGTTTATGTTCTGTGTTACATTTAGCACAGCAGCTGGTTTTTACTTATGCAAAGTAACACATGCTGCAGTTTGCCAGACAGATGAAATAAGAAGCTTTTCAGAAGAGATCTCAGTGAGGACAGGAGGAGTTTGAATATTTCTCCTTCCCGATATTAATTCAATGATTAGGTTTGAATCACTTGACCTTCTAAGACATACCAGTAACAAGACACCACTTACTTTGTCAAAGTATCACTTGAAGTACTGGGACTTCCTAAAATGTCTGCTACCTCTCCAGGAGCCCAGAATGATGCAACCTCCTTCTAAATTCCTGCCTATTTACTACCATAAAAGATTACCTTGAAATATATTGTAAGGCCACCTGTCTTTGTATTTGCATGAGGTGCAGAACTTCTTTCTGCTAAAGCAAGCACATTTGACTAGCCACCCTTCCCTTTTAACATCATAACTACACGTATCATACATGTCTTCTCTACTTTAAGAGAACTTTATCTATACTTTTGCATCCCATCTCTCCAACATTTATCTAATCTGAGCTATGAGTTCCTTCTTGACTTTATTTCTGCTGCTTGTTTTTATTTCTCTTACCCTGCAAAAATGAGGTAATAGCCTAGACAAAGGCAGGTGAGCCCAGATAACTAACTGTACCTTTGCTTGTACAGCATGTGAATGTATCAAGGTGGTTTTATAAGAGGGAGTCAGAGCAGACAGGTTCATCAGAGCAGGAGAGGACCACATATACCAGCTCTCAGGTTCCTTCCTTCTCACTGAAAAGTTTTAAAATGCACAAATACATTGCTTAGCCTGCATAAAAAGCACTTCTGAGAGTTCCATGAATGGGAAATTATGCACTGGGGTGCAAGACAGCTTTTTATCAGCCTGGCAAGAGAAAGAATCACAAGTGCTCAATCAGTCAGCATCCCAAGGAAAGGGCACGCAGAAGGCCCTCTGATGTGGGAGAGAGGATGGAAGCTAGGATGGCACACAGTCACAACAGACTACCCAAAATCCACACATTCCAGCCAAGAACTCAATCCCAGAGACCCTGCTAGCTTGCAGGAATATAATTTTGTAATAATGTTTGTTTTCTACATGACAAATACTTTGATCCAAAGTCAATATGTTACCCTGTGCAACAAACAGACCACTCTGCTGTCTGTAAAAATGTAAAGCAGGTTAACCTACTACAGGCTAAAGGAAAGTTTACTTGCTGCTGAAGTCTGTGTGGTTCTGAATTGATTCTGAATTAAAGGAAAAAGTTAACTCATCTATCCTTTGGATGTCTCCATCACATAGATATTGCTAAATCACAGCACAGAACAATAAACTTGGCACCAGTCAACAAGCAAAGGCTCTGAAAACTAGGGCAGAAAACCCTGACCCATTTTTCTTCCAGAAAATACATGTTCCAAAATGACCTCTTCTGTCTCATCTCTCACATGCTACTGCTGCTGCAGCTCTGAAATACCTACTTGAGCAGGAGCCAAATTAAACTATAAAAAAAAAGAAACAGTCTGGCAAGAGCAAGTCAACCTGACTTCTGCATGCAAGACAACCTGGTTTCCCATGCATCTTCTTTCCCATTAATACCAGAATATCACTTCCCAGACTGGACACACAGCACCTGCAGTCCACCAGATCTCCCAAATATTAAATTGGAATGAGTGGGCAGCCAGAGGCTCAGCCAGTCAAACAGAGCATTCAGCCAGGGCTGACCACTCTGAACTTTTTCTGCTAGGACTGACAAATAGCCCAAACCTACACAAAGGGGAACGAAGTGGAGATTATTCTCTTATGCGAGCTGGAACAAACCCAAGTCTCCAAAGTTAATATAAGTAAGAGAGAAATAGGCCTATCTATCAGAGATGCTACCAAGATGTGCATTTGCTGAGTATTTTGTAGACACCGAGCAGTAAAAATATTCCAGCTTCAGTTACTTGCAAGCGATTACTTACCCTGTAACTGTAACATTTTGGTAAGCAGTTTCATGGCAATACACTGAACAGCAGTGTGGATTAGTGGAAAAAAGTGAATAAAAGTGAAGAAAAAAAGCCATAGACGTAGTTCGGTAAGTCACTTACCATCTGCTGGCTGCTGGAAGTTGACGTAGGCATACCCAAGGGATCGGCGGGTGATCATATCCCTGCAGACCCGAATGGAGAGAACGGGCCCAGCAGGGCTGAACTTCTCGTAGAGCATGGCCTCGGTGACATCGGGGTGCAGGTCACCCACGTACAGCGATGCCATCGGGTAACTGCTGGCAGCCGTGTTCATCTTCCACCCAGCACGCACTACCACCACGAACTAAGAGGGTTTTATTCTGGCGTTTCTTTAGGTCAATCTTTTGTAAATATTTAAACTGGGGTAGAACTCAAAGTCTTATTTAAAAGCCTCACTAAGCAGACCTGCAGAAACAGGGGGGCTGGCAGGAGGCCGGTGACCGGAGGGAGGGCGCAGTGGGGGGCACCGGCAGCTCCGCCACGCCAGGCCCCGGGACAGAGAGCAGCTGCGGGGGGAGGAGAGGCCTGAAAAATCAGCAAAAAACAAAGTTAAACGTCCAGGAGAGCGGGGCTAGGATACGAAGCCAGAATTCACAGACCGGCTCCTCAGCGTTTCTCCCGTCAGCTCTGGGGCAAAACCCTCCTCGACCTCCCTAAAACCACGTCCCTTACTTTGCTTTAATAGTCTAATTTAGCCCCAAATCTCCACAGCAGAGGCCGTTTGATTTTCTGAGGTTTAAAAAAAAAATTAAAAAATTAGGAAAAATAATGGTCTCTGTAATATATATATATTTATACGAATCTTTCTTTT